GCTGCATGCAAGCCTGCAGGCCGAGGGGAGGAGGGTCAGCAGGGTGGGGGGTACGTGTGGCCTTGGGGACAGGTACTCATCAATTTAGGGGGTTGCGATCTCTGCTAGAACAGCGAAATATCACAAAACAGCGAAGCAGGTGTGGGGAGCCCCGAGGCAGGTGTGGGGAGCCCCGCCAGCAGTGTTCGGCCCCGCCTCGGTGCCCGCAGGGCGCGTGCAGCTTCCACTCCTGCCTCGCTCCGCTCCGGGGCCCCGCCGCCCCCAGCCCCCAGCCGCACGGAGCTCCTGCTCCCTGCACGCCCCGTGCACAGGGAGGGCCCGGCCCAAGCTGCGGGCGGGGTGCCTCGGCCTCCGGAGCTGGCAGCTGGGTCCTCGGGCTCCCTGACAGACGGGGCGCAGGCGGGATGAGGGGGTTGAGGTCTCCAGGTGTTGGTGTGAGTACTGGGAAGGGAGCTGCCTGTGCGGGGCGGGGGGGGTGGGGGAAGGCACCAGCTGAAGTGTACGGCATTTGAGGTTGCTGTTCAGAAAGAGCAAGTGTCCACAGGTCGCGTCTGAGCCCCAGAGCCTGATGTCGAGGGTCAAGGTTGGGGAGGATGCGGGCAGCCCAGGGGCGCGGGGCAGGCAGACTGACTAAGGCAGGGCCGCCGTGGTCGACAGGTTGGGGACTGGCTCCATCATTGACCTGGCCTCCACCAGGACGCCATGGGAGCTGGTTTTCGGGGGCGTGGGGGTGGGCGGCAGAGCACGGTGGGCCCAGAGCCGAGCTCGTGTCTTCCCAGGTGGGAGAGCTGCACGTCCCTGTGCCAGCGGGTGACCCAGCGAAGCGAGAAGCTGAGGCTGGGCTGGCCCGTGCCAGGAGCGTGGTCCTCGAGAAGGGCCGACCCTGACGCAGGCCCCCAGGACTCCGGGCCCGGGGCAGGGCCTCGTCTACTTCTGGCTGAAGCAGGGGCTGGACGGTGAGATGCGGGGCTGGGCCGGGGCTGGCGGGAGTGGGTGGGGGTGCGCATGGGGGAGTCCTGCTCTCCCCTAGGCCTGGGCCTCGCCCACTGGCCATGCTGCCCGCCCGGGCCCAGGGGACCCTGCCCAGCCTTGTCTCCTCACAGAGTCGAGGCTGTGCTGGGAGCTAGTCTCACCCCTGGGTCTTTCTCCTCATCTGTCCCGTGTGGCCACGTTGGTGCTGAGAGGGTCCCAGCTGTGATACGACCAGGGCCTGTCAGCTGTGAGTGGGAAGGGGAGCCCCAGTCGCCCCACACTGAGCACCTGCTCCCTCACCCCCCGCAGCCCTGCCCCACCCAGCACTGTTCCAGGTCTGTGAGCTCAGCCCTCAGACCTCCCAGCCTTGCTCCCGGGGGAGCATCCTGCCCTGCTGTCTGGAAATGCCACCGTCCTGCGCGACCAGATCCTGCGGGACTCGGCCTGGCACTCCTTCGGGTCTTTCCTCCAGGGGCATCACTTTGCCGCTTCCAGTTCTCAGGAACAAGAGAGAGGGTGGATTTGGGCCCGGGGGACTCAGGACCGAGAGGAAGGCTGAAGGAGGGTGGGGTCGAGGGGGACAGGGGCTCCTGGGGTCCCCCTCCCATGGCTGTGGACGCAAACCGGGCCCTCACGGAGTCGTTACAATGGCAGATGTAACGACTGAGGGACGTCCAGCTCCAGTACCAGTCCTCGGAGGAGTGTAGGCTGGAAGGGGTGCCCAGGGGGGGCCCCTCAGATTCCTGGCAAGGTCACTTGCCTACCCAGGCCAGTCCCTGTGGGGGGCCTCACGCAGGCCGGTTTGAGTTTCCCCTTCACGTGGCAGTGTGATTGTGAGGTGCAGTAGCTAGCAAAGAAGCAGACACTGAGAACGTTCTGTCGAACTTGGCCACGTATCCACGCCGTTAAAATCCAAGCAGTTCACGTGAGTGTTATGGAACCAAAAAGGACTAACGTTTCTTAATTTCATCAATATGATTTTTAAAACAAAGACCCCACGATTTACACTGTTTCACTGTTTAAATGCAAATACAGCTTGTCACACGGAATGACAGTTGACGTAACTTAGGTTCGGGCTCTTCATCCAGACGGTCCCAGGCAATCTGGGTTGGATCCACCGGGAAACCTCAGAACAGGTGTCAGTACGAGAATGCCAGCCGGGTCTGCAGTAAGGGACGCACTGGACACAGCGCGTGGGCGCGTGCCTAGCGTCCCTCATTAGTACCTGGCACCTGAGGGGTCACCTGCTGCCGAAAGGGTCACACTCAGCTGTGAATCCAGGACATGCTTAAACAGTGTTTGCAGGGTGGAGTGGGGCTGCGCGGGGTCCCAGCTTCCTGCCCAGGGGCGGTTTTTTTGTTTTGTTTTTGGGTTTGTTTGTTTGTTTGTTTGTTTTTTGCAGCTTCAGCCTGTTTACGGACACCCTCTAATTTGGAGGCCCACGTTGCCGTGTGAGAAGTTCAGCTGTCCTGAAGTGCCACCTGCAAGGAAGTCCAGGCCATGTGTAGAGGTCGTTCTTAATTTTTTTTTCTTTTTGCTCAGTTAGCAGGGTTTTTTAAAAATTATTTTGTTTACATCCCCCAACGCCCTCCCTTTGGCAATCATCAGTTCATTCTTCGTATCTGAGTTTATTTCTATTTTGTCGGTCCGTTAATTTTGTTCTTTACATTCCGAGTGCGTGAGATCACGTGGTATTTGTCCTCCTCTGACTTATTTCACTCAGTGTAATAGTCTCTAGGTCCATCCGTTGTCCCAAGTGGTAAGATTTCTCTTTCGTGGCTGAGCAATATTCCATGGCATACGTGCACCACCTCTTCTTTATCCACTCACCCTGTGGACACCCAGGGCGCTTCCAAGCTTGGCTGTTGTAAGTCATGCTGCAGAGAACATGGGTGTGAACGTCTTCTCAGATTGTTGTAGTTTTCTTCAGGTAAACACCCAGAGGTGCAGTTGCTCCTGGGTCCCGTGGTAGTTCTATTTTTTAAGTTTTTGAGGCACCGTCACACTGTGTGCCACAGTGGCTGCACCAGTCCGCAGCCCCACCAGCAGGGCATGAGAATCCCTTTTCTCCCCGTCCTCGTCAGCGCTTGCTTGTTTTTGTTGATGTTTTGACGATGGTCCTTCTGATAGGTGTGAGGTGAGATCTCATTGTGGTTTTGGTTTGCATTGCTCTGAGGATTAGTGATGTCGAGCATCTTTTCATCTGTCTGTTGGCCATCTGTATGTCCTGTTTGGAGAAAGTTCTGTTCAGGTCCTCTGCCATTTTTCATCCGTATTATTTGGTTTAGTGGCATCGTATGAGTTCCTTGTATGTGTCGGGTGTATCATTTGCAGATTCCCTCTCCTATTTACTAGGTAGTTTTTTCGTTGGTGGTTTTCTCTGCTATACAGAACTTTTTAGTTTGATGGGGTCCCATTGTTTGTTTTTTCTTCTGTCTCCCTTGCCTGAGGAGACACATCCAAAAACATACCGCTAAGCGCAGTGTCAGAGTTCACTGCCTGTGTCTCCATCCGGGAGTTTTATGGTTTCAGGCCTTACGTTTAAGTCGTTACTCCCATTTCGAGTTTGTTTTTTGTATGGCGTAAGGAGGTTTCATTTTTTTGCACGTGTCTGCCTTTCCCCCATTGTGTGTTCTCGCCTCCTTCGGCATAGATGAAGTGACCGCGTCAGTGCGGGTTTATTTCTGTGCTGTTCTGTTCCACGGACTCACGTGTCTGCTTTTATGCCAGCGCCGTGCTGTTTTGATCATTGCAGCTTTGCAGTGCGGTCTGATATCGGGGCGCCCGATACCTCCCACTTGGTTCTTTCTCAGGATTTTTTTGGCCGTTCAGGGTTTTTTGTGGTGCCATGTGGGAAGGCAGTGCCAGGCCCCGGCTCTGAGAAGAGGAGCACACAGGGCCCAGCAGGGTTGCCGGTGGAGGGAGCGGAGACCGTCCCTGGGGAGCCGGAGTGGCTGGGACCCATGAGGCCGAGCTCCCGGCAGGACGGGGCCACGCGGGGCGCCGGAGATGTGCACAGAGGCCCTTCTTGTCGGCTGCTCAGTGCACGTGGGAGTAAAAGTAAATCCAGGGGAACCGCCAGGAAGCAGCAGGGCCGCGATAGGGTGTGTTTCCCCACCAGGGCAGGGGACCTCGCCATTCTCAGAAGGGCGTCACCTTAGCAGTGGGACTAAATCAGCCCAGGAATAAAACCCGAAGATGAAGCACGCTCAGAAAGGTCGAGTTGACCCTCAGGCAGTTAACTGCACGCACCGAACACAGTAAAGTACGCAGCGTGGGAATCCTGGCAGAAGGCACCAGGCCAGGCCGAGAAGGAGGAAGACAAAGGGTAAGAAACAGACCCAGGAATGACAGGTGGTGAACTGAAGACGGGAACCTGAACGCGGCCCCCGTACGTCTTGTAAACACGCTCGAGAACATAGAGGGAAACGGGGACGTGAAGAAGGGACGGAAGACACCGAAAACTTCCCGGGAACCTCCCAGGAAAACAGTGCAGTGTCTAAAACGAAAAGTACTCTGGACGGAATTCATGGCAGGTTAGAAACGTTAGAAGGAATTACCCGTCAGCTGGATGGCACGTGAATAGAAATGACCACAAATGAAGCACTGAGAGAAGGGACGGGGACAGAACGGCCCGTGGGACACCACCGAGCCTGCTAACACACGGCACCGCAGTCCTCGAAAAAGGAGGAACAAAAACGCTGATTTGAGTCAGGCGTCCTACGCCTCCTGGGGTAACGCCGCGTCTGTGCG